AGTTTTGAAGCTTTGCATATGCAGTTGGCTTCCTTGACCTGAATCAACTATGGCATATATTAGGGTTACTCATGTAAGCAATTTTAAACATGTAGTGTAACCGTTTGCAGGGTTCTACTTCAGTTCTAATTCTGAACAATCTGAAAAAGTAAACATCTCTGCACTGTTGCTTTTATAAATTAGGATATTATCTCTTTGCACTATACAAACTGTAAAAGTATTAGGTTTACCTTATGAAGGTTGGGAAAATACATTATTGTGAGACTTAATATCAATCATTCTAGTTATTTTTCTATGTTGTAAGTAAGTATACTGAGATTGTTCTAGGACTACTATAGTATAACAAGATTCAGATATAATGCAATGATAAATGTTATTTATGTTCACAGGGAAGATGGTACTATCGAAAGCAAGCAGTAAAGGAATTACATAGTACATTGATACGACTGCTTAATGAACTGTTACCATGGGAACTAAAGCTAATGAAAGCTTTTCAAAGAAACAGGTAATTAGCTGCTCTTTTTAACAATAATGCAAGAAATGTGAAACAAAATCCAACTCATTACTTTTAAAAAACAGTCAATCTTAGCTGGCTTCTAAAATCATGGTAATTAAGATACTTTGAGAATAGGAATGAGGTCTAGGTAGTATTTTAGTCTGAAGAGGTAAACATTTTCTGCAACAGATTTAGGGACTACAAGTAAATTTGAGATTTAACGCCTGTTTTTTTTTTTTTCCAAAATGCTCTAGGATCCCTAAGCATACTTGTCTCAAGCTATGTCATATCATAATCTAGCTAGGGTTAATATTGCTGTTTGTTTGATCAAGAAATTCCTGAAAAACAGTATTAAAAAACTAGACCAAGTCTTCTTACAACTTTTTAATTCAATATATGGTATTAAGTACAATCTAAAATTACCTAAACTGGTCATCAACAACCTCATCAGAGAACCAGTTCTTAAAATGTTATTTTAAGAGTCTTTCTAGTTTTGTAAATTAGTGTCCATCTGGGATCACGTGCATCAGAGAAACATCAGTGTAGCAGTGACAGGATTAAAGCTAGCTAAGAATGGCATCAATGAAAATGAGGTGAGGACTAGAACCCAGATTCAAAGCCCTGTAAAAACTAGGCATGTTGCCACTGCATCTTGAAGCTTGTGCTACTGTTGTCTGTTAGGTAATGTCACACCCACCTTAGAAGGATGAGCCAGGGAACTACAGGCTGGACAGCTTAACCTAAGTCCCTGGGAAGGTTATGGAGGAAATCCTCCTGGAAGCCATTTCCAGGCACAGGAAGGACAAGAAGGTGATTGGGAACATCAAGCATGGATTTACCAAGAGCAAAACACGCCTGATTGTTTTCTACAATGAGATGACTGGCCCTGCAGACAAAGGGAGAACAGTTAATGTTGTATACCTTTGGGCTTTGTCACAGTCTCCCATAGTATCCTTACAGCCAAATTGATTAAGTATCGACTGGATAAATGGATGATAATGTGTGTAGAAAATTGACGGGACTGCTGGACTCAAAGTGTGGTGATCAGCAGTACAAAGTCCAACTGGCAGCTAGTTACTAGTGGTGTCCCTCAGGGAACAATACTTGGGCCAACACTGTCGACTGTCTTTATTAATGACCTGTATAATGATTCAGAGTGCACTTTCAGCAAGTTTGTGGATGACACCAAATTGCGGGGGAGCGGTCAATGTGCTGGAGGGCAGACCTGCTATTTAGAGGGATCTGGACAGGCTGGAGAAATGGGCTGACAGGAATCTCATGAAGTTCAGCCAGGACAAATGCCAAGTCCTGCACCTGAGCTGGAATAACCCTATGCATCAGTACAGGCTGGGGCCGACCAGCTAGAGAGCAGCTTTGCAGAGAAGGACCTGGGGGTCCTGGTGGACAACAAGTTGACCATGAGCCAGCAGCATGCCCTTGCAGCAAAGGAGGCCAACAGCATCCTGGGCTGTATTAGGAAGAGTGTAGGCAGCAGGTCCAGGGAGGTGATCCTTCTCCTCTATTCAGCACTGAGGCCTCACCTGGAGTCCTGTGTCCAGTTCTGGGCTCCCCAATATAAGACAGACACAGACATACTGAAGCAAGCCCAGCAGAGGGCCACCAGGATGGTTGGGGGCTGGAGCACCTGACGTACAAGGAGAGGCTGAGAGAACTGGGTTTGTTCACCCTGGAGAAGAGAAGGCTCAGGGGAAACTTTATTGTTGCCTGATCGAAGGATGCAGAGAAGATGGAACCAGGTGCAAAACAGCAGAACAATAAGCAGTGGACACAAGTTGAAACATGGGAAATTCCCATTAGATATAAGGAAAAAAAATTTCATCATGAGGGTAGTCAAACACTGGAACAGGGGCCCAGAGAGGTTGTGGGATCTCCATCCTTGGAGGTGTTCAAAACTCGACTGGACAAGGCCCTGAACAACCTGATCTAATTAGACCTGCTTTGAGCGGGGAGTTAGACTAGAGATCTCCAGAGGTCCCTTCCAACCTAAATTATTCTATGATTTAGGGAAGTACTAAGACCTTATTTTTACTGTCATAGTGATTGAGTTTAGGTCCAGGATAGAATCTAAATTTTGCCCTAGACAGTTTGCTAATTACTAGCATCTCTTCACTGGTTTCTTAATGAATCTTTCTGATGTCATGTTTAATTACCAGTGGCTGAGCTCTGTAGTTCACTGTACTTATATGCTAAAATACCACTAGATCTCATCTAAGCAATGATATAGAAGAAAGGATAAGAGAGTAAGTAGCACTGTGTGAATATCAAGATGAGTATGGTGTCACAGTGGATACTATTTCACAAGAGTGTTCAAATGGAGTAAAATACGTATTTGTCAGGTATTAAAATACCTATGCCACATCTGTAGTCTTGTGTCAAATTCTGAGCTCCCCAGTACAAGATAGACATGGACCTACTGGAGCAAGTCCAGCGAAGATTCACAAAGATGATTAAGGGACTGAAGAATCTCTCATACAAGGAGAGGCTGAGAGAACTGGGACTGTTTAGCCTGGAGAAGAGAGGGCTCAGGGAGGAGCTTATCAATGTTTATAAATATCTGATGGGAGGGTGTACAGAAGACAGAACCAGACTCTTTTCAGTGGTGCCCAGTGACAGGACAAGGGGCAACGGGTACAAACTGGAACACAGGAAGTTCCATCTGAACATGAGGAGGAACTTTCCTGTGAGGGTGACTGAGCACTGGAACAGGTTGCCCAGAGAGGTTGTGGAGTCTCCTTCACTGGAGATATTCAAAAGCCGTCTGGACACAATCCTGGGCAACGTGCGCTAGATGACCTTGCTTGAGCAGGGGGATTGGACTAGATGATCTCCAGAGGTCCCTTCCAATTTCAACTATTTTGTGATTCTGTATTTCTATCTTCTGCACATTACTAATGGAATATGAGCTTCTGGAAGTGAGTGGCAGCTATTTAATCGGTTGTGAAATGAGGTAGATATTTTACTGAAAAAAGAAACATTATGGTCATCTAACCATGCCAAAGACATGATGTATTCCTGAAAACAAGAATTGCTTATTTTTCTAGCTGAAGTTGTTTTCAGAGGAAAGAGTAGATTCCTGGATTTCTTACAGATGTACCTGTAGCGATTCAGGTATTAATCATCATAATGCAAGGTGTATGAAGAAGCAGGAAATGGAGGTAGGAAAGTAGTGATTGGTCAGATTTTACTCAGTCTTGTTGCTTATTGTTAGAGAACTTTAGAGGATAGAATTTCATTTCAGTGAGGGAAGGGATGTTACTGCCACTTTTTATTTCCTGACTTTTAGAGACTTGAATTTAGCTACCTTGCACATTTTTAAAGGGCATAGGTTATTCTAGGCTACCTTTTCTATGTGAAAAATTTTTTGGGAGGAACTTACAAGTAAAAGCATGAAAAATTGAGTATTGTTCTTCAGTGAAGTTAGTTGTATGTCATTATTTTCAAGGTCTCGACTGAAGAAAGACTATGATGACTTTCAAAGACAGCCAGATCATGATAAATTTACCAGAGAATTATGGAGTAATGACAAAAGTGAGGGAGATGCTGACAAAGACTCTTTTGAAGTAATAACCAGTAAATCTTCGGAGTCTGCAGAACATGAGGATGCTTCCAAAAAAGATCATCGTAAGTATTTACTGAAATTTAATAGCCTGGGTCTTGATTCAAGGGTCTACCAGTTTTTTTTCATGCAAGTTTCTGTCATATATTTTACCTTAATTATAGCGTAAGTATACTGGAGTCGATTTTGTGATGCACTTTTGATAGATAGTAGACCAGGAGAAGGGGGCAGAGATGACCTAGATGAGAATTCTGATTTTATGTATTAGTAAGCTTGTGTCATTTTTTTGCTTAATTATTTCTGTGATAAAATAGTAGGCCTGCTCAGAAGAATTTATATTGTTGTCTGTAGCTTAAGTTATTTTTAAAAAAAAAGTAAAATACAGTACAGATGATTAATGCTGTCATCACCTCAGAAACTGTTCTTGATAGTTGTCATGACAAATAATTATAAGCTAGCACTTTGCCTTTATCTGAATGGTGTTAAACTGTCATATAGATGTATCAATTGCAAAATATAAAATACTTACAGTTTTTACTTTACTATTTTTGCAGATGAAATGAAACTGTTAGAGGTGGTTTTACCTGCAGGGAAAAGCAGACTTCTAAAAAAAGAATGGACTTCTAAAGAAATACATAAGACACTGACCAAATCTGTTAAACGACAGTCCAAGCAGAACAGTTGTCTGGATGATAGCACAAATGAACTTTCACCAAGGAAGAAAGCTAAGTTGAGCACAACTGAGGCTGTAGTCCAGAGTTCAGAAAGAGGCATGCAGACAGATAGTTGTTTGACTGAGCTGAAACAATATGAACAACCAGCTCCAGAATCATTTTCCCTGTCAGATCCTGCAACATCAGTATCAAATTTTCTGAAAGGGACCAAACCCATCCAGGCCTTGCTTGCCAAGAGTATTGGAAACAAAGTGACCTTAACAAATCAACTGCTACCTCCCTTGGGCATAAATGTATCTACTTCTGAAAAAACAGTTATATCACCTATGGAATCACTGCCAATAAAACCAACATTGCCTTGCCAGACCAGTTCAAGGAGTCCTTTACAAACAGCATACAAAATGCCAAGTAGCCATTATATACCAATAGACCTTCACAACAGGTCAGTGAAAATTCAAATGCAGCCTGTGATTGACCCTAAAACTGGAGAAAAAGTCATGCAACCTAAGAATTTTCTTATTCAGCAGAACAAAGGAAAAATTATATCCAAGGACGTTCAATCACTGAAACAAAAGTCTTCTGAACTGCACTGTACAACTTTCTCACAAGCAGCAATTGTCAATGTTTCTTTAACACCTGTCCTGGTAACACCAACTGCACATGCTACCAATCAACTGCCTAGTACAATTTTTAACAAGAATATTATGCATCTGTCACAACTAACTAGTCCTGTGAACAGACTGCACCCATTGCATTCTATAACCTCAACAAGTAACTCATTATCATCAACAATTACAATGAGCCACAGTGAAACTGACCAAACCAAGAGTACAGTTTCAGCTGCCACATTCCCTATATCTTTGGCTTTACCCACTGTTTCTACAGCTAGTCAGCCTTTTACATCAGTAACAACATTAAGTGGATCTACAAATACTACTTCTTCCTTTAATAGTCTCACATCACAGAAGAACAGTGACTCCTCTGAAGCTAAGCAAGAACTAAAAACAGTGTGTATAAGAGAATCACAGTCTATAATGGTAACAACACGAGGTGGGAACACAGGAATTGTTAAAGTACAGACAAACCCAGACCAGATTTCACCTAATAGTTTATCTCCTAGTTCATTTTTTGCTTATGCACCTCAACTTCAGACATTTTTGGTGCCAAAATCCACAGCATTATCAACCTCTACTCTTTCATCTATAGCAACAGCCACATCTGGTTTTCCACTTTTTGGACAATCATCTGTTTCTGGGTTTGCCACCTCAACAGTTGCTTCTGTCAACATTCCAGCTTTTCCTGCTGGTTTAAATCAGATAAAGGGGAAAAATTTCAAATGTACATTAGGGCAGCCTCCTCGTGGGGGCATTTTGGATCAAATAGAGAAAACGTGTCATGTGTCCTCTCCTACTTTCTTGCCCCCCCTTTCATCAACTAGCACTTTGATGTCAGAAATTCCAAGCAGTCCTGTTAATGCAATTAGTGTTGGACAGAATAACACTGGCATTACCCCAAATTCTTCAATAGAGCAACAAGGTAATACTAAAAAACGTCCTCTTATACAATCTGAGACTAGTACAGCAAAAAATGGAGATGTAATCAGTGGTACTCCAATTCAAAAAGTTATGTTAGTCACAAATCCACCTATTTTGTCTCCATGTGGGGCTACAGGAGTCAATATTATACCTTCTCCAGCATCCACTGGTGTAAGTGCTCAGAAATTAGTTTTCATTAATCCTCCACTTCCCAGTGATGCATCTAGTCTAGTTACAGAGTCATCAAAACAGACCCTCCCTTCTTCCCTAAAGAAAACCTTTGTTGGTGCCACAGAGCAGCCACAGTTGGTTCTGATTCCATCTACAGTAGAAGTACCAATAAAAAAAAAATCATCATCTAATGTGGCTCAAGTAAAAGATGTGAAAATTGGACTAAACATAGGTCAGGCCTTTGTAAATACCAAAGGCAACGAACAACAAGCTCCACCAATTAATATATTGCAATCTGTCATTTCTAAAGGAGAAAACAAAAATAAGATGGGCTTTACTTTATGTTTGTCAAGCAGTGGTAGTTTGGTTCCAGTACGTTCAAGTTTTGCAAGTCAAAGTGTTACATCATTGAACGAATCCATAGGTATTGTAACGAAAGCTGCAACTGCCTTTACAGTAACAGCAGCAAATGCACATTTGGAATCTGTTTCAGTAACATCAAGTGAGACTTCTGTTGGGACACAACCTACTGTCTTGATTGGTGGAAACAACACTTCAAGAATAAGGCCAGTTTTAGCTAAGCAACTGTGTACATCGAATATTGGAAATACTGTGGATATATCAACTGGAGAAACAGGACATCTTGCTTCATCTGTGCTAGTTTCAACTACACAACCAACAGTATCTCCTCAAAACTTATCATCTATTTTACAATTTCCAGCTGTTAGCCTGCCTGGATCTGTAGCCACCTCCCCCAAAGTGATACATACAGTTCCTCACTTCACAGCAGTTCCAGCTCTCCCATCACTTCCAAAAGACCAGCCACCCACATTACTTCAGTTTCAGTCACCAGGAATTTCAGCTGCTGTGACAACTAATGCAGATAATCACAAATCTCAAACTGTATTGTCCTCTGCTTCACAAAATACAGGTAAAGTCATTAGTTTTCCCAACTTTTCTTCACTACAATGCCAACAGATGCCACCCAATATAGTGAAACAAAGTCATACTTACACTTGTACTTCTGCTATTCAGGTGGCTACAGCTTCACCCACTGTAAAAAGCCAGGAAGGAGATCAATTGAATGAACTTTGCATGCAACAGAAAATAATTATTAACACTTGTATGCCTTTGGCACCTGGAACTGAGATAATGATTAATGGTACCCATTTTATTGTTCCATCACAAGGCCTTGGACCTGGCAGCCATGTTCTTCTCCTCTCTTCTAATACAAAGCAGACTCCTCTTCCTTTAGCTATTAACCATGGTCAAGGGGCTCAAGGTGTACCAATTGTTAATCCTATACCCCTGAAGATTACCCTAGCACCAACTAATTCATTAAGCTGGCAAACATCAAAACATCCTTTGAAAAGCTCTACAAAAATTGTGAACTCTTCAGGGTCTGCAAATGCTTTACCCACTGTACATGCAGTGCCCCATATATTGAATACTCCTGCTAGCGCATGTGCACCACCATCAACAACAACATTGTCTACGTCTTCAGTGATAAAACCTCCAGCTAATGTTTTAGTTGCAACTTCTTTAATTTCTGCCATGCACCCTGGGAACTGTCAGTTATCAAGGAATACTTCAGTGTTTGACTTAGATACATCTATCAAAAAACTATTGGTCAGTCCAGAGGGAGCCATTTTGAATGCTATCAATACTTCAGCATCAAAAGTTTCAACACTGCCTCCTGTTATAGTGTCCACAAGCAGAAATCCTATTACTATCTTTCCTCCTTTTCGATCATCTTGCCTAGATAAACCTGACAAAGCTGCATCCTGAATTTAGAGAAAATGAGCCACTTTGAAATGTTGGGGACTTTGAAAGTGGTTGTTATAATGTAAACCCTTTCTTATTTTGTTTAAAACATAGCTGATTTCTTACAAAATTATTTTGTTAGATCTTTTCTGTTTACCTGTGGGGCTTGAGAGAAGGAACAATATATTCAGTTTCAGTCAGAGGTATGCTTTCAGGGGGTTAATAAAATGGTCAGAAATGACCAAACAATTAATAAATAGCAAAAATTTTAGTTTGAAGAAAGCTAGCTTTTTGCATATGTTCTATCTTGCAATGTGTGCTCTATGGTAGTGGTCTTTATGATAGTATGTGTCTCCTCTTTTTATTTGTCAAATCTTTTTTAAATTTTTTATTGTTTCTGTAAAATAGAAATGCATTGTAAAAATGCAGTCTATGGTATAAAATTATATATAATCCTGAATTCCTAACAATCTGTACTAAACTATATGTGCAAAGAACTATGCTGTTTTATTCATGTTTTGATGACCCAATGTATAGGGTTTTTTTAAGTATTTTAGTAATTTTGGACCAGTGTACTGTTCAGCAACAATGCAGAAGAATCTACATGTAATAAGGTGCTATACTGCTTTGTGTTGGTAATTGTTTAAAAGTGTGTATATCTGTTGCATTGTGGCAGATATATATATATATATACACACACATATATATGTGTACATCTTTCCATTTAATGCAGAAGTATCTCACCATGACTGGGTGGCTTTCTGAACACTAATGTACGCAGCATGGGAGACAAACAGGAGGAATTAGAGGTCTGTGTGCAGTTGCAGGGCTATGATCTCATTGCGTTTACGGAGACATGGTGGGATAGCTCGCATGACTGGAATGCTGCTACAGGGTCTTTAGGAAGGACAGGTCAGGAAGGTGAGGAGGGGGAGTCACCCTTTATGTGAGAGAGCAGCTGGAATGCATGGAGCTCTGCCTAGAGACAGCTGAGAGGCCAGTTGAGAACTTATGGGTTGGGATTAGAGGGCAGATCCATGTGGGTGATGTTGTGGTGGGTGTCTGCTACAGACCACCTGATCAAGAAGGAGAGGTAAATGAGGCTGGAACCAGCCTCACATTCACAGGCCCTGGTCCTCATGGGGGGGATTTGAACCAAGTCAACATCTGCTGGAAGGACAACACAGCAGGGCGCAAGCAATCCAGGAGATTGCTGGAGTGCATTGATGATTGCTGCCTGATTGAGGAACCCATGAGGGGAGGTGCTCTGCTGGACCTGATACTTGCAAAAAAAGAACTGTTCAGGGATGTGAAGGTCGTGGACAGCCTTGGCTGCAGTGACCATGAAATGGTGGAGTTGAGGATCCAGAGAGAAAAGAACAAGGCAAATAGCAGGATCATCGCCCTGGCCTTCAGGAGAGCAGACTTCAGCCTGTTCAGGGATCTGCTTGGAAGAATCCCATGGGAGACAGTCCTGGAGAGAAGAGGGATCCAGGAGAGCTGGTTGATTTTTCAAGGGTCACTTCCTCCAATGTCAAGAATGGTCCATCCCAACATGCAGGAAGTCAAGCAAAGGTGTCCTGCATGCATGACCAAGGAGCTCCTGCCTAAACTCAAACATAAAAAGGAAGTGTACAAGAGGTGGAAGCAGGGACAGGTGATCCAGGGGGAATATATACTGTCCGAGTGTGCAGGGATGGGGTTAGGAAAGCCAAAGCCTACCTGAAGTTGGTTCTGGTGAGGGACATGAAAGGCAACAAGAAAGACTTCTACAGGTATAACTGCAGCAAAAGGAAGGGTAGGGAAAATATGGGCCTGCTGCTGAATGGGACATACCATGGGCCCTGATAAGATGCATCCATGAGTGCTAAAGGAGCTGGCTGATGTCATTGCGAGGCAATTATCTTTGAAAGGCCATGGTGACTGGGGAGGTTCCTGAGAACTGGAAGAGAGCAAATGTCATTTCTCTCTTCAAGAAGGTCAATAAAGAGGACCTGGGGAACTACAGCCCAGTCAGCCTCACCTCAGTCCCTGGGAAGGTGATGTAGCAGTTAATCCTGAATACCATTTCCAAACATATAAAGGACAAGAAGGGAATAGTCAGTATGGATTTATGGAAGGGATACCTGACCAACCTGATAGCCCTCTATGATGAGATGACTGGCTGGGTGGATGAGGGGAGAGCAGTGGATGTTGTTTACCTCGACTTTAGCAAGGCACTGTCTCTCATAACATTCTCATAGACAAACTGAAGTATGGGTTAGATAAGTGGCCAATAAGGTGAACTGAAACTGGCTGAACTGCTGGGCTCAGAGGGTTGCGATCAGCAGCATGAAGTCCAGCTGGAGGCCAGTCACTAGTGGTGTCCCCCAGGGGTCAATCCTGGGGCCAATATTGTTTAGCCTCTTCAGTAATGAGCTGGATGATGGGACAGAGTGCGCGCGCCCTCAGCAAGTTTGCAGATGATACAAAACTGGGAGGGGAGGCTGATAGACCAGATGGGTGTGCTGCCCTTCAGAGGGACCTTGACAGGCTGGAGAAACGGGCAAAGAGGAACCTCATGCAATTCAGCAACGGGAAAAGCCAAGTCCTGCTCCTGGGGAGGAATAACCCCCATGCACCAGTACAGGCTGGGGGCTGACTGGCTGGAAAGCAGCTTTGCAGAG